CTCATCTGTAAAAAAAAGAAAAAAAGAGGTGGTTGGAGTAGATGATGTCTGGGGTCCATTTGAGCTCCAGATTTATGTACCTATGACTTGAGTTCATATCCTGGCTCCCCCATTTACTAACTGTGAGATATTGGAGAAATCACTGGATCTCAGTTTCCCTATCTTTAAGATTGGGGGATTATTGAGTTAAATGACCTCTGGTTTTAATCCCTACAAATTATTAAAGGAACCTAGATAATCAGTTTCAGGATGATTGAGAGCTGGCTGAACAGGGACATTGCATACGGAGCTATGGACATACCTGCATCCTTGCCAAAACTCTTATTTTCTTTTGGTAACTTAGCCCTCCCTCTGCAGGATATCACAGAATGGTCCAGATAGGCCCTACAGGATGAAAGGACATCATTGTCTATAGAACAGCCTGCTTCAGCAGCTTCCCAAACAGAGACCTAGTGGGGACTTTTTTCCCCCCTAAAAATTGTTAGACATTTGGGCAGCACAAAAAAATGCATCCACAGCATGGGAGCACCCACAGAAAATACAAAGGATACTACTGAAGACAGAACAAAACAAAAACAGCCCTTTGTATAAGCATCTCTTGGCCTTTCCACAGCCAGCCCACTCCTCCAGTCCAAGTCTGCCATGAATTTCATATATGCCACTCAAATTTGCTGGGCTGTCACTGAGGGCTTTGGTCAGTCAGTCTTTTACTACTACCCAAGAAGCAGCTCTTGGGTTATCAATGTTCTTCCCCATCCATGTCCATTCGTCTCCATACATCCCACTGATATATTCACTCACACCCGAGGCTTCGGTCTTCTGATTTACAAATAGCAAACTGGGCCAATAAAAGTCTCCTACTTTTAATTCATCAACCCAACTGCCCAAATGGTGAAAGAAATATGCTAAGAAGAGCACTAATAAAGAGCTATATGCCCCCAGTTTGATTTAGACAATCCTATTTGGTTTTTTTCTACTCTTATGTTGAATGGGCAGGTCATCTGAAAAGGCTCTGGTTAGTGGCAAGAGGGAAACCACATGTTAGCTTCTACAGACAAACTGTGAAGTGTGTTCATGCACTTTGTAAATGACGCTACAATCCTTTACAATTTACAAAGGGCTTTCTTCACATTTATTCTACAAGGTAAATTGTAGAAGTATTATTATTCTCATTTTAAAGATGAGAAACCTGAGATTTGGAAAAGCCATAGAACTAGAAAGGATTCCAGGAATCATCTAGCCCACCATTTTTTAAACTGTGGGTCACGCATGACCTCATATGGGGTCACAAAAAAATTAGCAACAATAAAAGGTTTCTGAATGTGCAACGACCAAAAATTAATTCAAAATCAAACACATAATGAATCCAAGATGTTTCTGGCAGCACTTGCCTGTGTTGCATCATGCAACTTTACTGCAGCCTTGGTTCTGAACACAAAGCATGTGCACTTTGCACTGTGCATGCCCTCAGGCCACGTAACACCAACAAAGCTGCCAAAACAGAAAAAAGTTTGACAGTGGAAAAAGTTTAAGAAGCCCTGATAGCCCAGCCAACCCATTTTACAAATGGGGAAACTGAGGCCCCAAAAGGTTAAATTGCTTGTCCAAGGTCACCAAAAGATTAAGTGGCTGCTCTAAGATTTGAACTAAGGTCCTGTATTTCCAAGTTCAGCAGTTTTTTCACAGTACCTTATCACCTCTCAGCTAGTAAACATTCAGATTTGGAATTTTGACCCCCTTCCTCCTGTCTTCAAAACCAGCTTTCTTACTGCTACATCATGTTGCTTCTAAAAAGCTGAGAGTTTGGTAGTTTCCAAAGAAGTAGCATGTTTAGTAACTTGCCTGCAACATATAGCCTAGAAAAAAGGGCCCTCCAGTCAAATGTTTACACAGCTCCTCCTCTTTGATACCCAGAGTTCAATATTAGGGTTGGGCCTGTGGGCTGCTTACTGAAGATGAGGCCCTGGCTGTAGCATCCTCTCCCCACCCACCCTTCTTAAGCCTAGTTGCTGAGGAGGAGAGAAAAAACTAGGTTGTTTCCATTTTATCCCACCAGAATGCCCTATGGTCCCCTTCAAAAACCTCATAGCCCTTCCTAATTTGGCTGATCAGAAATAATCATTTTAAGCATCATCGCTTCCCTAAGGTATCTCTGACAGCTTAATCAGTGGTGCCAGTTTTAAGTAGTAAAGGTGAATGAATTCACGTCTGTATTTAAACAGCAAATAGAGGTTGTACTCCCAGACTTAAGGCAGCTTTAACGGCTCTAACACTCTAGGGACACCCTGTATTTCTCCACCACCTACTGTGTTGTGTCTAAGATATGAAGTTGGGGCTGTGGAAGACCCCAGGAAGTGTACTTCTTGTATATACCAATTCTACCCCTTAGAGACTTTACAGTGATTTGGGCTTGATGGAGAGCCAGCCTAGAAGACCTGAATTCAAGTTCCACCCTGACCCATGCTGGCTGTGTGACTCTGGGCAAGTCACCTAATTTCTTATTACTCTAGAGCAGGGCTTCTTAAACTTTTTTCCACTTGTGACCCCTTTTCAGTTTCAGCAGCATTTATTGGTGCTACATGGGCATGACAGCATGCAGAGTACAAAGTGCGCATGCTGTGTGTTCAGAACCAAGGCTGCAGTGAAGTTGCTTGATGTAACATGGACAAGCACTGCCAGAAACACCTTGGATTCATTATGCATTTGATTTTGAATTAATTTTTGGGCCTTGCATGTTCAGAAACCTTTTACTGTTGCCAAATTTTTCACAACCCAAATGGGGTCTTGACCTACAGTTTAAGAAGCACTAGTAGATAATTCTCTAAGACCATAAGCTACACAGAAAGTGCTGATGTGCATTAGTAGAGGGAATTTCCTCACCTGGGAGTTCTCTGTGCTAATGAAATCACAAGTCCTGGCCCCCCATCCTTAGGCAAATTATACATACACATGTATATACAATACATACAGATGTAATATATGTGTACACATATATGTGCACATAAACATATGCACATATTATGCATATATTTGAAATGTGACTACCAGCACAATAATACTCTTATTTATATAGCAGAGAGGTAGCAAAGGAAAAGTGGCTGCAGGGCAAGCTTTGGAGTCCAGAAGACCTGCACTATCCTGCCTCTGACACATACTGGCTGGTCAAACATAGATAACTCATTCACCCTCCCAGGGGTCTCAGGCAGCTTATCACCAAGGGGGTTGCTGATCAGAATAAATGGACGTATTTTCCACACTGGTGAAATCCCAGTGCACTTTTCCAAAAAGATTATATCATATAGAACTTTTTCAGCCTCAAAGTATCTTCCTCACCACTGCCCCGTGAGGCAGTGCAGCATAATTAGCCTCGTTCCAAAGATGAGGAAATTGCAAATTCAGAGAAGAGAAGCAATCTGCCCAAGCTCACAATAGTAGGGACAGAAGTTGGGGTTCCAACCCCAACTCTCTGACTCAGAATCCAAGTGCAGCTCACTTTTTACCATCCTCAAGTTTCTTTCCCACCAGGCAATAAAGGAGATACAAGCTAAAGTCAAGGCTCTAAATGGAAATGATTCCTAGGGTCAAAGGACCTGGGCTAAAAGTCTGCTTCTGGTGATAATTATCTACATAAAGTTGAACAAATCACTTATCAATCAACCATTCAAGTGTTTGTTAAAGGCTTCCTGTTGGTGAGGCACTGTGCTAAGCACTAGGGATGCAAAGAAAGGCAAAAACAGTCCCTACCCTCAAGGAGCTTACATTCTAGTGGAAGAGACAACACATAAATAATCAGGTACATACAATATTATAAACAGAGTAGATACTGATGATAAGCTTAGAGGGGAAGAACACTAGCAGCTTAGGGGGACAGGGAGAGAATGGGCTTCTACAGAAGGTGGCACTTGAGGTGTCTTTTTTGTTTTTTGCTTTTTGGTGAGGCAACTGGGGTTGAGTGACTTGCCCAGGGTCACACAGCTAGTAAGTGTCAATTGTCTGAGGCCCGAATTTGAACTCAGGTCCTCCTAACTCCTCCTACCCAGTGTGCCACCGAGCTGCCTCCAAATGCAATTTTTCTTGAGGTAAGTCTTGAAGGCAGTCTGGGATTCTATGAGACAGAGGTGGAGAGGGATAGCCTTTTAAGCATGGTGGCAGCCAGTACAGAAGCAATGGAAACCTGAAATGGAAAGTCAGGTATGAGGAAGAGCAATTAGGCAGCCAGTGGTTTATCAAGGTGAGAGTAGGGGATAGAAGGGGTGGTAGGAGGGGTCACTGGCACCTGTCTGGAGTATGGACTGGAGTGTAGAGAGACTTGAGGCAGTCGGCAATACTCGAGATTATTAAAATAGTCTGGGTGAGAGGTAATAATGGGCTGGACTAGGGTGGTGGCTGTTTGAGTAGAAAACAAAGACCAGATGACTAGGAGAGATGTTGTAAGGATAGAAACAAGATTTGGCGATTGGTCACATATGTAAGATGAGCAAGAATGAGAAGTCAGGATGAACAGAGGTTAAAGACATAGGTGGCTCAGAGCATGGTGATGCCTGTGACATTAACAGGAAAATTTGAATGAGTGGATAGTTTGGGGGTGAAAAAATGAGCTGGAGAAGGAAATGGCAAATCACTCCAGTATCTTTGCCAAGAAAACCCCAAATGGGTTCACAAAGAGTAGGGCACGACCTAACAACAACAACAACAGGACATCCAGTTTGGAATGTCCAGTGGTAGGCGATACCAGACTGGAACTTTAGAAAGAGACTAGGGGTGGATTTATAAATGTAGGGGTTATTTGCATAGAAATACTTGAACCCAAAGGGTCTGATCAGGTCACCAAGGGAGATAATATAGTGAGAAAAGAAAAAAGAGGCTAGGACAAAGACTTGGGAAAAGCCCAAATCAGTGAGCAAAACATGGATGAAGATCTAGCAACGGAGACTGAGAAGAGGTAGTTCTTCACCCGTGAAACAAGAGAGTTGAACTAGATGGTCCTTGAAGTCCCTTACCACTGTCATCCTATGCTCCTTTGATCCTGTGGAGTTTGAAGCTAGAAATGCCTGCTCCAAATTTCCGCTTTCATAGACCATAGATGGAGGGAGGCTCCCCCACCACCAAAAAAAAGGTGAAGAGACAGTAAATGCTTCAGGCTCCCAGCAGTACAATGTTCCTTTGTGACCATACCCAAGGTTTCCAGGCAATATGCAAAGCAGGCGGGTGGCCCTGTTCACTCTGGAAACCCAGCCTCAGACTAGTTCTTATCTTGAGGAAAAGAGAGAAGTGTAACTACAGCTATGGGGCCCAGGCCTGAAGCATGCTCTCAGTTCCTGCCACTGCTTATCAGCTGCAGGCTGGCCAGGGCAGAAGCTTCTTCTGCTGGTACAAACTCGGGGTGGCCGGCGGCAGTGCCAAGGGCGGGGTGGGGGAGGAGCACTTTAGGCACTCGGAGCCAAGATTCACTCTTGCTTTTCAATGTCTAGTCCTCGGGCAGGACAACAGCCAACATGCCCAACAGCTGGAGTTTTCAGATTCAGTTTTTCCCTTTCTGTGTATAGTTTCGACTTTCAAATAGCACTCTTCTAGAAACACACTTCACAGCACAAGTACAAAAAGAACCATTTTTATAGACATTCAAATAGGTCAAACAGAAAACATCAACAGCAAAATAGACTAAAATAGCCCATAAGGAAAAAAGAGAGACAGGGAGAACGCAATAAAGAGAAAGCTGGTCAGAACTGAGAAGTAAATGTTCCTGTCATCAAAGAACATTATAAAACTTGAATGGCACAGAGCGAGGGCTTCTTTCTGTAAAAAAGTTAATTATTCGTGACCTTCCTTATGTACTTTATGGCCCACCCATATTTCCTGCTCCCCGCACGTCTCCATCTCTGGGCTGTCAATGCCTTTGACTTAGCTGTCCCCCATGGCTAGAATGCTCTACCTGCTTACTTCCAAATCTTCATTTCCCTGGCTACCTTCAAGACTCAGTTCAAATGCCACCTTCTGCAGAAGGCCTTTCTTAGTTCCCTAGGTCTCTCTTAAGAACTTTGGGACTGATTGTGTAACATGGGAGACAGGGGCACAAGACTGCCCAGCATGGCGTGCCCACATCAGAGAAGGTGCTATGCTCTATGAGCAAAGCAGAACTGAAATAGCTCAAAAAAAAAAAAAAAAACACACAAGATGTGCAAATCTAGAGAATCCACCCCAAATGTTCATATGGACTATTTGTGCCCGACCTGTGTTAGAGCATTCTGATCTCATATTGGTCTAATCAGCCACAGTCAGACACACTGAAACTTACCTAGCATAGTGATGTCATTTTGGTCCTCTTCAAGAAGGAAGGACAGCAACCAGCTGATAGTACCTTCCCTTCAGAGAATACCTCTCATCTGCTACTCTGCCCGAAAATCTTCTCTCCGTTTATTTAAATGTTGTCTCTCACGTTAAAATGTAAACTCCTTGAGGGCAGGGACTGTGTTTTACCTTTCTTTGTATCAAAGCTCTTAGTGTCCTAGCCTGACTTATAATTAGCCTTTGATAAATGCTTTTGGATTAATTGATTGAATCATTGATGACCTTCCCAGACCAAATCCAGTCAGGCTCAGTCCCAGATCGAGGTGTTTCAAGTAAACAACAGTTTCAGAATTCTTTCTAATTTCTCATCCATTTCTGTCAGACAGAGATTTTGAAAGATGACACACTCATGATGTGAATTTGCAGCCTTGGCCATTAACAAGACTTCTTTCAGAAAACACTTTTAGCCTAACCTCGTTACAAATACTTGCTCCCAAGAACAAATTTTAAGAAAACTACCATACAGTCTCAAGCCTTCCAGAGTTCTTTGAAGATCAGAAACCAGCAACTATATTAGAAAGGATGTTATTTATCCAGCCACTCCAAATAACTTTTGAAGCCAACATTGACTCTACACACCCCCAAATGCAGCTCACAGCACATGTGGGCCTGATTCATATTTTCTAAGCAAATGTCTGTGAAAACAAACATACCAATGAACAATAAGGCTGAGTTATTTGAAAATCAAAACAGAAACTAAGATGAAGAAAACAACAAAAGGGGGAGAAGTAGGAAGACAAGGGGCAGGAAAATAGTATATTAAAACCAACTAAAATTAGCATTTGCCTATTTCCCTCCAAATGGTGAATTTACCTGATAGCCAAAGGAACTTCAAAAGTAGCTTTTGGGGGGGGGGGGGGGGGGGGGGGGGGGTGCTGTGTTTTTTTTTTAAAGCACTGGGCCTGTGCTTCTCAGAAATCTGAATAGGTTTGGAACTGTGTCTAATAGGCAGACTGAGGTGGTAGATAAGACAATTGACTTGAAACCCCATTCAAGACTCAGCTCAAGGGATATTTCCTACAAGAGATCTTTCCTGATGCCCCCAATTGTTAGCATTTACTCCCCAAGGCCAGAAATTACCTTTTATGTATTTTGTGATTACTTATCTGTATACATGTTGTTCCACACACACTCCTACCCCTATAGAATGCAAATACAGATAGTACATGAGGTAGAGTAGGGATTGTTTCCACCTTTATATTTGTACCTCCCACGCTTGGCACAGAGTGGATGTTTACTAAATGGTTGTTTATTGTTGATTTATTGACTACATGTTCTTCCCCACCTTACCCACAACCAGTACAACATAAATTCCTTAAAAGTAGAAACTTTACTTTTTTGTCCTTGCATGCCCAAAGCTTAACAAAGTGCCTGGCACACACTAGGCACTTAACTAATGCTTATTGAACTAGATTGGAATGGGTTGGGTCATATTGAAGTCGAAAAGACTTGGGTTTGAATTTTCATCCTCCTTCTGACACTTGATATATGATTCTGGAGAAAAAGAAATCACTTAACCCTTTTGACCCTAGGTTTCATTTGTAAAATGAAGAAAATCCATTCTTTTCATTCCTACCTCACAGGACCATTGTGAGGATCAAAGGGAATGATATATGGTACAGCATTTGGTATACTTTATAGCTTCATATAAATACCAATTATTATTAATCCCCAAGGTTCATCTCTGCTTTAGAATGGCTTAGCTCTCTGTGTACTACCTACACCATATGGAGCCACATTTTTCTTGGGCATGAGACAAGTGTAGCTTTCTTTACTGAAATTCTGAAGATGTTTTGCTCACATGTAAACAAACATTTTCTTTGTCTTTGCCAGTTTAGTACAGCTTGGGAAGTTGTGGTGCTGAATTAGTAGCACCTCAATCACTTCTATGACAATCTGGGGACAGGCTGGGATATGATGAATATGACAATCAGATATTGCTACAAGAAGTGAGGATGAGGGGAGAATAATAATAACATGTTAAAGTGGTACTGTAATAATTGTGATGCCTCAAATTTTCATAAAACTTTGAGTTACTTTTTCATATCCTTTTCATGTCTTTTATGTTAAGAATAGCCAAAGCAGTTAGGTGGTATAGTGGATAGAGCACTTAGCTTGGAATCGGGAAGAGCTGGGCTCAAATTTAGCCTCAGATACTAAAAAGCTGTGTGACCTTAGGCAAATCACTTAATCTCTCCCTGCCTCCATTTTTTTTCTGTTAAATGAGGAAAAAAATAGTACCCACTTCCCAAGATTGTTCTGAGCCTCAGATGAGATAATATTTCTAAAGCACCTAGTGCAGTACCTGATATATAATAGGTGCTTAATAAATGTTTGTTCCCTCTCTTTATTTTATAATTAGACAGCCTTTTGAAAATAGTAACTGTGTCTTATTTATCTCTGAATCTGCTGCCAGCCCCATGCCTAACACAATGTCTGTCACATAAATAATTAATGTTTTTTAAGTGAATATAATGTTATCCTAACTACAGTTTAAGCAAGTGTTAGCCGCATTTTCAAGATCTGTAGGGTCAAAGTCCCTAGGACTTCCCTTGGTAGTTCACTGTTATTTCATTACATTGAATTCAAGGTCTTTCTCACCACCACTAAAATCTCACCTGCTTTAACTTAGGTATGCTTCCTTATTTCAATTTTTTCTGCACAGAAAGAACAACAAGTTCAGTATCTTTCCTCTAGTTCTTCAGATATTTGAAGTATGCACCAGCAATCTCAACTATCCAGAAAAAGGTCTCTGAGCAGCAAATAGCCATCCCAAAACCCATGCACTTACCCCATAAGAGAAGCAGAAGCAGATCAGGTCTGTGACCTCAAAGTCAATGGTAAAATGAGATGTCATAATGGAAAGGAATTAAAAGTAATCATTAATAACAAAGTGAGCGTAGGGAAGGACTAAATAAGTGGAGGAGTTTGGATCTTTCCAGTGCTTAGCACTGGCCTTTCCAGCTTAGCTTGGCACATAGTAGGTGCTTAATAAATGTTTAATTGTAAGGGCAAAGTGCTAGCAGCTGTTGGTCACAGATTCAGGGCAAAGAGCTGGGACATGAAGAACAGAGAGCAGAATAGGGAATAAATGGTAGGGTTAACCCCATCTGAAATAAGCGTACCTAAGAGAATAGGGCAGTTCTCAAAATGTATTGTCAAAGATAGACCTGTCCCTGTTTTTGTGACTCATATTTATTAATGGGCAGCTCATAGCACAGACCAGAACACAGGATATCTTAGAAACATACACAATACAGCATAAGAGAAGGCAAATACAAACGAATGGGAACAGTCACTCTAAAATACTAGATTTGCAGCGATATTCTGCTTTAGTCAGTCAACAAGCATTTATTAAATGCCAGGCGTTTTGTTTAATTAACAAATTATGTAAATTTTATTTAATAAATAAGCTCCAAAAAGGCAAAAAACAAAAAAGTCTCTGACCTCACAGAGGTCAGAGTATAATGGGTGAGAAAATTATTAATATTCAAGATATAAATGGGAAATAATGAGTAATATTAGAATGAAGTACTAGCATTAAAGAGAAGCAGGAAAGGCTTTTTATGGAAGGTAGGATTTTAGCTGTGACTGAGGAAATCCAGGAAAGCCAGAAGACAGAGACAAAGAGAGATAGCATTCCATGTATAAGGGACAGCTAGTGAAAATGTATGGAGCTGGGAAATAGAGTGTCTCATGTTACAAGGAGATCGTTGTCATTAGACCATAGAGTATGCGGAGGGGAGTAAAGTAAGAAGTCTGGGAAAGGTAAGAAGGAGTCAGGTTAT